CAGAGATGGCTTGTCTTGAAAATACAAGGGCAGATAAATCTTTGTGCTGAGAGCTTGGTCTTGGGGGTCCTGAGCTGATACTTTTCCTCTCCTTGTCCACCAACCAGGAGTCCTGCCACAAACAAACAGTTGGCCTTCTCTATGGGTGTGTTCTCACCTTGTTATGTGCAGATTGTGACCCCAAAGAGACCACCGAAGACCTTGGATGTCCAGAATGCAAAAGCAAGGTTTATTCTGTAGATACAAGTCTAGACAGGGAACTCATTCCTACACCCAATAGAGTGAGGCAGGGAGGAGGTGCTCTTTCTTTGTGTGGCTGGCTTTTTAAAGGCAAAAACCACAAGACCTTCAGGGGAGTTGAGGGGGGGGCGTTGCACGGGTGCAACTCGGATTGGTTTATTTTTATCTCTGTTCTCTTTTAATTGGGTGAGGGTATGTAACCTTTGAACTTACTGGTTGGTGGTTACAATTATCACTTTGGGGGCAGTCCAGCACAAGTCCCAAGCTTTGTCCTTGAGCCACCATGGGGGCTGGCTGGCCAAGAATGTACTGACTGTGGGGGCTGGCTCAGTGGTCCATTCTCTGTCCTTGAGCTACCATGGGGGCTGGCTGGCCTAGCACATCATGCACATAACTCTAAGTTGGTGAGGGGTCCCAGACAGTAAACATCTGGCTGAACTTTGAGCAGTCAGAGTACATGCAGAAAGGGAGCTACTGCAAGGACTATGTCTTTGGTTCACAGCCCTCCTAGAGACTGCTTGCTCAAGTCTCAGGAAACTGAAATTGAGGCCTGATCTCTGAGAGAAGACTGAACAGCCTGTTATGGCATCTGCTCAGTCCCTTCAACCTGTGGATCTAGCCAACCACTGATTGAAAACTTGAAAACCAAACTGCACTTATATGGAACACGTACACTTTTTCCTAGTCCTTGTTCCCTCAACCATGTAGTTAGAACTTACGTAGCATATATGTTGTTTTAGGGACTGTAGAGCGATGGTTTAGAGCTGCAGCTCCTAACCTTTTACAGGGGTCACCTAAGACCATTGGAAAATACAGATATTTACATTCAGATTTATAACAGTAGCAAAATGACAGTTACAAAGTAGCAACAAAAATAATCTTATGGTTGGGGGTCATCACAACACGAGGAACTATATTGAAGGGTCTGGTCGAAGCATTAGGAAGGTTGAGAACCACTGGTTTAGAGTACAGGAGAGGTAAAGGTGCTTTCCATCAAAGCTGATGGCCTGAGCTCAGTCCCTGGAACACACATCCCGTTAGTCATTCTCTGATGTCTACATGTGTCCCTACACACAAAGAAATAATAATAAATACGCGTAATGAGTGTATAGGAGAGAATATGCATAAGGTGTGGTATATGTAAATATACAATTTATTTATTTTATTCATGAAACACTTTATATTTATTTATTAATTATGTCTATACGGAGGGGGGGGCATGAGTGTGGAGGTCAGAGGACAGTTTGCAGGAGTTCTCTCTTATGTTGGTCCTGGGGGTCAAACTTAGGTCATCAGGCTGGGTGGCATTCACCTGCTGACCCATCTGGCAGGTCCTATTTTATATATATATTGTTCTGCCCAGATTAGGACCCCCAAAGAGACCACTGGAGACTGAAGATGTCCAGAATGCAATAGCAAGGTTTATTTCTGTTACAAGTTGAGACAGGGAACTCATCTCAAGCACTCACTGGCCTCAGCGCAGTGAGGCAGGGAGGAGTTACTCTTTCTTGGGGAAGTTAGTTTTTATAGGCAAAACCCACAAAATTTCTTAGGGGGGGGGTTAGTAAGGGTCCATCCTTGATTGGTCCAGTTTTCCCCGGGCCTGGACTTTGTCTTATTCTAGCTTATCTGTTTGCCCTGTCAGGAGTTTTACAACCCATCTCCAGGGTCTGGTCATGTTATCTCTGGAGAGGGGCATCTCGTGGTTAATCGGTCACCACCAGACATCCTGACTTTGTTCTTTTGAAAACACCTGACTTCACCTTCTCCAGGAAGGGGGAATTGATGCAGTTCTGTTTATTTTTAAGATATTTCTTCCCTCAGCTTTTTTGGGTTTCTGGGGGAACTGTGTCTGGGCCTTTAGTGAGGGTTTTTCAATATATATGTGTGTATGTGTGTGTGTGTGTGTGTGTATTTTTTGAGAAAGGGTTCCTTTCAACTCAAGCTGCATCTGCTTCCCAAATGCTGGCATTAAAGCCACCATTTCTGGCTCTGCTGTTAATTTATTTGTGTGCGTTGGGGGGGGGGGCGCCAATGCGTGAGGAGATCAGAGGACAACCTCTGGTGTCACTCCTCACCTGTCCACCGTGAGACCTTTTCTTGTCGACCTCCTCGAGCTTCCAGGGGTTCCCGTCTCCACAGGAACAAGGCTTTCACAAGGGTTCTAGGGGTTCAGTCTTAGGTCTTCACACTTCTGCGGCACACGCCTTTACCCACTCAGCTGGACCCCAGCACCAGTTCTGCAGTCCCAGCACAGGGACCTTCAGCACACATGGAGCTTGGTATCTATCTGAAGGGCATCCTGACCCAGCCTTCACAGATACCTCGATCACCCATGGCTCTGCTCCACAGCCACGCACCCCTGAAGGCCATGGTACACACACTGTCAGGAATAGCTTCAATTTCATATTCCGGCATTCCAGCAAGGGATCAGGGGATGGAGTTGGAAAAGACCAGAATTGGAAATCACTGCTTTAAAAAAAAAAATGAGATTTTGGGCTGAGAGATGGCTCAGAGGTTAAGAGCACCGACTGCTCTTTCAGAGGTCCTGAGTTCAATTCCCAGCACCCACATGGTGGTTCACAACCATCTGTAATGAGATCTGGCACCCTCTTCTGTGTACATAATAAATAAATAAATCTTTAAAAAAAATGAGATTTTAAAGATTGTATTTTAAATTATATGTATATGTGTGCCTGTGTATCTTTTTTGTTTGTTTGCTTTTTGTTTGAGACAGAGTTTCTCTGTGTATCAGCCCTGACTGTCCTGGAACTCATTTTGTAGAGCAGACTAGCCTTGAACTCACAGAGATCTGCCTGCCTCCGCCACCCAAGTGCTGGGATTAAAAGGCATGTGCCACCAGCCACCACGGTTGGCTGACTGTCTTTATACACTTGAATGCAGGTACCCTCAGAGGCCTGAAGAGGGTGCCAGATTCCCTGGAGCTGGAGTCCCAGGTTGTGAGCTGCCCAAAGTGGATGCTGGGAATGTAACTCTGGTCCTTTGGAAGTGCAGCAAGCACTCTTAACTGTTAATCACTTTGAGGATAATTTCCATACTGCTGAAGTCATCGGACGGAAGTGTGCATGTCAACAACCTTTAATGTAGCTGAATTTTTCAATGGGACCATAGGCTCCTCGATAAATTATTATTTATCTTATTATTTACTTATAATAATATAATAACAATTACTTATTATGAATTATGAAAGCTCAGCTGAGAGTTTAGGCTTGTTTCTAACTAGCTTAGCTTATTTATTTATTTATTTATTTATTTATTACATATACACTATTCTGCCTGCATATATGCCTAACACACCAGAAGAGGGCACCAGATCTCATTACAGATGGTTGTGAACCGCCATGTGATTGCTGGGAATTGAACTCAGGACCTCTGTTAGCGCAGCCAGTGCTCTTAACCTCTGGGTCATCTCTCCAGCCATAGCACTTGTATTTAAAGTAACCCATTCCTGTTCATTTACTTTCCGCCTAGTGCGTTTATTACCTCATCTCTGTACTGCCCATCCGGCTTGCTCTGTGTCTCAGGGCATTTCCACTCTCTTCCCAGCATCCTCTGGGCCTGGAAATCCTGCCTAGCTATTGGCTGTGCAGCTTTTTATTAAACCAATCAGAGTGACACGCCTTCACAGTGTACAAAAAGATTGTTCCACAACACTAGTAAATATGCACGCTTGTTTAGCTCTCGATTTGACTGCAATCTACTTTTAGAACATTTTAAATAGCAGCCTCTCCCCAGCTCCTTCAGGTCCATTTGCATTCAATCTGCTCTCTCACACGTGTAGCCCCAGGTACCTGCGTGCTGTCTCTGTCGATTTGCCTGCTATAAATTTTAAAAACTCAGTAACAAAAGGAGGTCATGCAAAAAACAGATGCTAAATAGGAACAGACCGAACCAACTTTAAAATGAACAGAGTTTTAAAAGTTACTCCAAAGCGGGCTGTAAGGGGCAGAGGGATAATTTAGCTACAGAGTACATCCTTGTCATCCTCTTGGCCCTGGGTTCTATCTTCACCCCAAACCCAAAGTAGGCTTTATCAGAATGTAGTTATAAAGGAATGTTTGTTTGTTTGGTTTGTGTGTGTGTGTGTGTGTGTGTGTGTGTGTGTGTGTGTAGGGCACCCCTATCCCAGGCTGGCCTTGAACGTACTGTGTAGCCAAGGCTGGCCTGGAATTCATCTTTCTGTTTCTACCTCCACCACACCCTGCTAAAGAAAAAAGGGTGGGGTGGAAATAACAGGTTCCAGTTCGTAGCTGCTAGACCTGGGGTGGTGGCTTTGGAGAGCAAGGAAGGGAAGTTTTAGGCTGTGGAAGACAGTCTCGTTAGACTCACGAACCTAAGGAAAGCGGTAGTGTTTCTTATTTGCATCATTTACTATAGTCTTTAAGTATTTGTGTGTACACACAAAGCCGCCAGGGTGCGCAAGTGGCGGTCAGGGGCCAATCTGAAGGGTCAGATTTCTCTCCATCCACCGGGTCGGTGAAGCCTGAGGATCGGACCCGTGAAGTCGCCGGACTTGGCTGCAGGCGACTTTGCTCGCGGGGCCATCCTCCGAGCCCTATTATTATTTACTTCGCAAGGTTTCGGACTGGCCTGGAACTTTCCATCCCTGACCTCCCTCTCCGATCACTGACCGGACCGGATCCGCCAAGGGGCGTTGGGTCCGCTCTCCCCGCCCCACACCTCCGCCCTTCCCGCCCGCGGCCCCTGACTTCCCGCTGCGCACGCGCACTGCCCGCCCTCCCAGCCCAGCGGCGGGCGGGGCGTTCGCGTCGACTCGGTTCCCCCGGCGATTGCTTCTGTCTGTTGTTGAGTTATGGTGCGGGACGGGACCCCCGGAGGCGGCTGGCACCCCGGCTGGAGTGCGGCTCGTTGCTGAGCGCCGCCCCGGTCGGTGCCGAGCGGGCTATGGGCGAGCCCGACCCCTTGGTCTCGGGGCAGCTCGCGGCCGGCCGGAGCTGGTGCTTGCGGCGGCTGGGGATGGACCGCGAGTGGTTGCAGCTGGAGGCTGCGAGTGAGGTGAGGGCGTGCGGCCTGGGGGTGGGGGGGCTGCGGGAGCTGCGGGATCGGGGAGGCTGGGAGGAGCGGCGCCCCGCCGACCCGGCTTGCGGGGAGGCACCCGGAGCGGCCGCGGGGTTGGGCCGCCTCAGGGGCTGGCGGGACCGGGCCGCGAGGCCAGGCGAGGCCGTGGCTTGAGAGGCCCCGGGCTGGTGGGTGGGTGGCTGCGCGGGAGCGAGGCCCCGTGCCAGAGCCGCCGTAACGGACGCGGGGCCCTCCGAGAGTAGGCACGGTCCCCGTTAGGGTCTCTCAGAGCCTTGCGATGACCCAGGTCACACGGGGAAACTGAGGCCGAGGCGTCCCCACTGACCCCGAGAATGGCGCACCGGTCCGGATGGCCGCGGAGGGCCTGTGCTCTCTGGAGTTGATCTTTGAGTGTGATCACGAGTTTAAAAAGGTGGCTCACCTAACATCCTCCAACTTTAATCCGAAAAAAAAAATAAAAGTCTTCCATTCCATCCCCGAGAAGTGGCGCGTTGGGGTGAGCCACGATTGCACGCACCCTCGACGTGGGTCAGGGACAGTCAGCGATTCTCGCCAGAAACTGCTTACAGTGTTTACATAATGCAGGCTTAAAGGGCTGGTGCTGGGGCTCGAACCCAGGGCCTTGTACCCGGAAGGCAAGCACTCTGCCAGCTGATCTGTAGAGTTCAGCTCCATCAATGCAAAACTAAAAAACAAAAAAGGGAGGCACAGTTATAAGTGGAGAGAAGGTGCTAGGATTTGGTCCGGGAAAAGCCAAGGGTGGGCCGCCTCCTTGCAGTCCGCTCTGGAAGGAGAACTGGGTCAGAGCCCCTTGGGCTTTGGAAAGCGCAGTACCGAGTGTTGGTCGTCATGTGTGCTGGCTGGTCTTAAGGCAACTTGACACACAAACGAATTATATGAAAGGAGGGGATCTTAATTGAGAAAATGCCAACGTAAGATCCCACTGTAAGCGGGACGGTAGTGGCGCACGCATGCCTTTAATCCCAGCACTTGGGAGGCAGAGGCAGGCAGATCTCTGTGAGTTTGAGGTCAGCTTGGTCTACAGAGTGAGTTCCAGGACAGGCTCCAAAACTACACAGAGAAACCCTGTCTCGAAAAACCATTAAAAAAAATTAAAAAAAAAAAAAAAAAAAAGATCCGGCTGTAGGCAAGCCTGGAGGTCATTTTCTTAGTTAGTGATTGATGGGGGAGGGCACAGCTCACTGTGGGTGGTGCCATCCCTGGGCTGGTGGTCCTGGGTTCTATAAGAAAGCAGGCTGAGCCGGCCACTAAGCAGCACCCCTCTGTGGCTTCTGCATCAGCTCCTGCCTCTAGGTTCCTGTTTGAGTTCCTGTCCTGACTTACTTTGATGATGAACAGTGTGACCTGGACTTGTAAGCTGAATAAACCCATTCCTCCCCAAATTGCTTTTTGGTCATGGCGTTTCATCACAATAATAGTAATCCTAACTAAGACATAGTGTAAATTAAGCTCATTGAATTGGTAGGGTTGAATTTTTTTTTTTTTTTTTTTTTTTTTTTGATAAGCTGTATATTCTCAATTGAGGGACAAACATAGTTTCTGCTCTTGGAGTTTATGGCTTGGAACCAGGGAAAGAGAATTTATAGAATGAAGGATGTCTTTCTGGGTTGGCCAAGGTGTGGCTTATTTAGCAATATTCCAGAGCAGGTCCGGCTTTAAATTAGCCGGCTTTGGAGAGCCGCTTATTTTTTCATCTGCTTTACTTCATCTGACCCCTGAACATTCATTCACTAGTCTCTCTCAACCCTGTTGGGAAACGTAATCAAGTGTTGACTCCCTCACTGAGACTCAGTTCGGTGAACTAGTCCATCACTTCTGAAACGCTTGGCAGCTGTGGGGTAGCAGGGGCGAGAGGACTGGAGAGCACTCACTCCTCCACACCTTCTGTACCGTGCCACAGACTTGTGTGGGATCACAGCTGTGGGGAGAGAGACCCATGCACACCAGGAGGAGCTGGAGACCCTCCTTGCGGGCCTCTGTGTAAGAGGAGCCTGCCTGGTGATGCCCAGAGTCGGCCTGTCGGCAGAATTTGGAGCATAGCTTGCAGAGTGGAGAGAGAGTTTGAGTGGGAGCCAGGATGAGGTTCTCAGATGATGGTGCACGTGGGTGTGCAGCAGGTCTGGGGAGGTGTGCTGGCGTCGTCTAATACAGCTGAGGCAGGACAGTTCCCTGCCTTTCCAGTTCCCCTCAAAGTTCAGCTTTCACAGATAAAATCAAAGAACATGGGTGGATCCTCATGTGTCGAAGGGAGTCCTTCAGTGTCTTTAAACTTGGTAAACCAGTCTAGAGATTTTGGTGTAAGCACAGATGAGTAGATTTATTGCAGGCGAGCTACTTCAGACCTGCAAAGGAAAGCTGTGTCTTTGCCTTGTTTTTCTCCTCTTGGTGTTCTTGAATCTGGGGGTTGGGAAGGGGAAGGAGTGGTTGGAGTACTTCCTGGTTATTTCAGAGACGGAGCCTTGCAGAGGAGGTCGGGGCTAGTGAAGCCGGACAGGAACAAGGGATTGTCTACATCGATGACAGTGTGCTCCAGGGTTGTAAATGGAGCAGTGCCCAGGAGAGTTCTTGGGTGACCGACCAGTGGTGCTGAAATAGAGCCATTGTGGACTCTAGGACTGGGCAGTGAAGGGGGTGACAGGGAGTCAGGGACAGTTCCAGAACAAGGTGCTCTTCTGGTCTTCTGTACTGTTTCCCCTGATGGCAGCCAGGCTGTTTCCCCTCAGATAGAATATGGAATACTTCCTCTAAAACAGCTACCAAACCTGGAAATTGTCAGTGCATATGGATGGTAGACAATTCCTAAATGTCCCCCATCACCACGCTAGTCCTCAGACCTGGACATTCTCCTTTTCAAAAAATGTGTGTATGTGAATGGTTGTCTGTATGCTGTGGGGTATTTGTAGAGGTCAGGACAACTTCAGGGAGTTCTCTTCTCCCAGGTGGGCCCAGTTAAGAGATATTTAGAAAAGAATCAGGAAACTTAAGACCTGGATCTCAGAAGATCTTCTTTCCCTCACATGTTTATGATTAGGTCACCAGGAATTGTGATGTGTGGGCATCTGAGCTTTGTTTCTGTCTCCTACAGAAACTCAAGCTGTTCTTGTGGGTAAGTGGGCCTAGGACTCAAGGAATTTGTTTGGTAGACTTGCAGAGTGTACAGCCCGTGTGTGTATGGGTGCCTGCAGGGGCCAGAAGAAGAGGGCATTGAATCTGGATTTGGAGTTATGAGCTCTTTTGAGCATCTCTCTAATCCCCATTTTATTTTACTTTATGTCTTGACTGAGGTACAACATTAGCTACCATATCTGTTTCATGGAGACTAACACTAGAAGGAAGGTTGTGTCTGTCTGTCTGTCTGGCAGATTAAAAGGTTAAAGTCTTAACAAGGCAGTGTGCTAGGCTGAACTAACAAGATGGAAATGACCAGAAATCGGCGTCAGGTCCTGCATTGGGATCCACATTTGCCAACTAGTCAAGTAGAGAGACAGCATAGTAATCTTGGAGGAGGGAGGAGGGAGAAATGTAATCATTTCTCAGGCCGAGGATACCTCGGCAGTGTCTTCGAGCTCTGTGAAAGCTGTGCCCCACACAGTAGCCATGCCTAGAGCTGGGAAAACGATACATGACTTGACTTCGTAGAACTTGAATTTGTTTTTCTTAAATAACAGCTATAACAACGAACGAACGAACGAGGAGTTCTCTCATAGACTATTGATGACAAACTCAAACTCAGGGAGGTAAGGTAAAGTGGCTGGGACACAGAGGGCCAGGAATGGTGACTTGGGAGACACTTCGCAGCTATGTATAGAAGGAGATTGGAGATTTCCTGATGTACCCAGGGCAGACCCAGGGCCAGCTGGAAGAATTTATAGAGAAAAGGATGCTAAGTTGGCCATTTCCAAGTCCAAGGCCTGTCTTAGTATGTATAAAGGCAGTGTGGAAGATGAATTGACGGGAATGTGAGGGAAGAAATGATGTCTCACTGGTGACCATTCAGGGTTGTGCTAGCCTGAGAGTTCATATTAACTCCTTTATCTTTTGAAGTTATTACTTTATGTGTATGATTGTTTTGACTGCATGTATGTCTGTGCAACGCATACATGCCTGGTGCCTGGGGGGCGGGGTGAGAGGTGATGTTTACCAAAAGAGGGGATCAGATCCTCTGCAGCTGGGATTATGGATGGTTATGAGCCACCATGTGGCTGCTGGGAAGACAAACCGGGTCTTCTGGAAGAGACTGAGCCATCTCTCCCGTCCTCCACGGTTCAATGCTCTCCTCTTACCACAGCTTCTTGCCTTTGTCTCTCTGGTGGCTCCCTGAGACAGCTGGGGGGGGGGGGGGGCAGGCAGCAGATGAGAAATTGAGGTTCCGTAGGTGTCTGCTTTCCTAAGCCAGGACCTGTGTACGCTGCTGGTTGGTAAGATTGTAAAGAACCCCCTTTTTAGCACAGTGACTGTGTCTTACATTGCCTCTGTCTTTCAGGTAACGATTGGTCGAGGATTTGGTGTCACTTACCAGCTGATATCAAAGGTGTGCCCTCTGATGATTTCTCGAAACCACTGTGTTTTGAAGCAGAATCCCGAGGGACAGTGGACAATTATGGACAACAAGGTAATGAGCTCACACAAGCCTAATGATTTCTATTGAGTTTTATGCATTTTATTTATTTATTTGGTTTTTTGAGACAGGGTTTTCTGTGTAGCTTTGGCTGTCCTGGAACTCACTCTGTATGTAGATCAGGCTGGCCTCGAACTCAGAGATCTGCCTGCCTCTGCCTCCCGAGTGCTGGGATTAAAGGTGTGCGCCACCACTGCCTGGCTGAGTTTTATGTGTTTTTAAACATTATATTACTACTGTAACTTGTGTGGCTTTGGTAGGGGACAGTATGTGAATGTGAGTGCAGGTGCCCGCAGAGGCCAGCCAGATCTCTCTGGCCCTGGACATGCGACAGTTGTGACCACTCGGTGTGGGTGCTGGGAACTGAGCCGTATATGGGAAGCTCTTAACCCCAGAGCCATCTCTCCAGCCCTACTAGATATTTTTAAATTTCCTTTTCTTTCCTTTTTTTTTTTTTTTTTTTTTTTTTTTTGTTTCTCGAGATAGGGTTTCTCTGTGTAGCTCTGGGTGTCCCAGAACTCGCTCTGTAGACCAGGCTGGCCTTGAACTCACAGAGATCCACCTGCCTCTGCCTCCCCAGTGCTGGGATTAAAGGCACATACCTTTAATCCCAGAAAAGTTCCTTTTCTTAGCACCCGATAGTTGTTGTCTAATATTCACAAGTGTAGCCATGCCCTGCTCCCTTTCCAAGGTGCAGCGCTTCCGTGTGCTGTAGGAAGTTAGGCTGTGCGAGAGGGTTGCTGATGGCCTGGAGTGAACGCTGCTTCTGAGGGGGTGTCTGGAGTGCAGCGGTGGCTCCTTTTCAGAACTGAGGCCATATTTCCGGGGAAACTGGCCCCTTTGGAAGGCAGCAGAGATCCTGGGAATCTGCCGAAGCTTCTGGAGGGCAGGAGACCTGAGGCAGAGAGAGAGAGAGAGAGAGAGAGAGAGAGAGAGAGAGAGAGAGAGAGAGAGAGAGAAAGAGAGAGAGAGTTGCTGCTGCACTGCTCCTTCCCTTGAGCAAGCCCTACACACGCACACACACACACCATACACACACACACTCACACTCACACACACACACACACTCACACACACACACACACCATACACACACACTCACACACACACACACACTCACACACACACACCATACACACACACACACACAC